TGAGGTGAACAAAGCACTCCTTATAAGGGTGTGGATACCTCATCCTAGCATGACCGGTTTTGGGGCTTGCGTTGTGCGGCTGCCAGAAACAAAACCGTGCGACTACTGCTTTATGGTATAGCGGGCAGGTTAGTCAAAGTGGACAATATCATTGCTACGGGGTTCTGGGGGCGTTACAAAGACCTTGAACCATCACTCTGAATTTTGGAATAAGTTTGAGATACACCACATTGTTGTGGGCATGAAACATATACACTTTTTATGAAAAGTGTCCATATAATTAATCATTTATGTTTTCTTTTTCTTTTTCTTTTTCTTTTTCTTGGTTTTGATCAAAAAGTTTCCATATACACATGATATAATTTGTATATTAAATATAGACCAACAAGACGATGAAATGAGGTAATTTAGGAATGAATTGAATGGATATAAGAAAAAACGAGATGAGAGTACATATATAGACATGCACTATATACATACGAAGACATAAAAATCTTGTTTCATACCAGTCGCATTCTTTTAAAGCATAATTTTTGGATGGACATGAGATTGAATGTCAACATTAAGGATGTGCACCTAGATCATTTCCCTTCTAAAGCACAATTATTGAATGGACATGAGATTAAAAGTGATCAAGAATTCATATCTATTTCCACGCTTCTCGTACCATAACTTTCTTTCTTACACGATCCTACGCCTTATATCATATATAATATGTTTAAATTTTCATTATACCCATATTGCAACAAGGATGGTTATTTTATTTGATTCTCAATGTTTCCACAACAATATCCAAGGCCAGCCAAGGAGCAGGAAGAAGCACATGCAATTTCATGTTCAGCTGATGAATGCCATCTCATTTATTAATTATTATTATTATTATTATTATTATTATGTGGTGTTTCTTTATTGTTTTTATATGCAAACAGATGAACTGAATCGTTGATGTGTGTGTATATATAAAATTATTAAAAGCTGTCCATTAAATACATATATTTATCTATGTAACGATAATAATTCCATTCAGCAAGCAGACACCAATCAATCTCTGTCGTCAAATCAATGATGAATTAATAGTTCATCTCCCTTTGTCACATGAAACTGGAATATCCCAGGACCCCACATATCTAAACATCTAATTCTATAATATGGATGCTTGCTTGCAACAAGTGCAAGCGCAAGTGCAAGTGTGAGTGTAAGTGTGCTTTTTCTTTTTATTTGTGTTCCACAGAATTCAACAAACATCCATCACCAAATTAATTAACCTGAACCAATATATGTAGTTCAGAGCTTGGAGACATTTTCAATATCTATTCAAGGTGGTGGTGGTGGTGGTGGTGATGGTGGCGGTGCGGTGTAACCAATTGCCACTCCCGAAGAGAACGCGGGTCCCCTTATCCGTCCAATCAACATAACGAGATATATAATCAGCTCCAATCACAAGAACGTTCTTTAAACCATATAATTTAACAAACATCCATGACCATGACCATGACCATGACCATGACCATAACCATGACCAACTCACAACTACTCCATTTCTTTCTTTATCTTTTAGTTCAATCTTTGTTAGCCTTTATTCCATAATAATAGCGAGACACCAAAAAAACCAGTAGGAGAAAAACTTCATAATCATCTCTTTCTTCTTCTACTCTTTTTGCATCAATTAAGCATCCGTTCACTACAACTTTTTAACCCCATCTCACAATGGCTGAAGCCCATGTAAGACCAGCGCCGAAGCCAGCAGTCATGATGGTTTGACCTTGCTTCACCCGCCCACTTCGGACCGCTTCGTCTAATGCCAATGGAATGGAAGCAGCACTTGTGTTACCGTAATTTTCCAAATTAGATATCACTTTATCCTTTGGAAAATCGAGTGCTGCCGATACACGATCAATGATCCTCTGGTTAGCCTGCAAACATTACGTCCCATAATGAGCTCCATCACAAAGGTTAATTGCATGAATTCATGGGGGTAAATTTTCCATACAAATTAATTAAAAGAATAGATATTTTATACCTGATGGATAAGCAACCAGTCTATGTCTAACAGCTTAAGACCAGCCTTTGCCAATGAATCCTTAATAGTCTGTGGCACAACCTTACCAGCAAAACGAAAAACCTCTGGTCCATTCATTTGAATATATGAAATAGATGGTTGTGTAGTGGGAAACCCCAAGACTGAACCATTACCAAGATCTGTTTCATTTTGCTTTATACCAGCCTCCAAGTGCCTATGGATAGAAAAGGAAAACAAACAATATATATAGTTCAGAGCTTGGTGACATTTTCAATATCTATTCAAGGTGGTGGTGGTGGTGGTGGTGAGGCGTAACCTGTTGCCACTTCCATCAGTATGCAAGTCAAAACCAAATACACCATCCTCCTCGCTATCACATGCCTACAACGGGTGATGATTATTTCATAGAAGCAATCAATTGTTCACTAAGCACAAGAACTCTAGCTAACATGCAAATTAATTAACCTGAACCAAAATAGCACCAGCACCATCACCAAAGAGAACGCAGGTCCCCTTATCCGTCCAATCAACATAACGAGATACAGAATCAGCTCCAATCACAAGAACGTTCTTGAAACCACCTCCTGTTGTAATAGCAGGTTCAACATGTTCATGCATGAAAATCAAAATTACTTCAAAAGACATCATATTGGATAAAGGAAAAGTATCTTTTAACCCCGAATATAACAGGAAGCTGAGATTAGGCCTAATAGAAATCCACTGCAAGCAGCTCTGATGTCAAATGCTGGTGGATTTCTTTTACATCCAAGTGTTTTTTGGACCTGACAAAGGGAAACATCAAAAGTTTATAAAGAACCTTAACTAAGAAAGAGTTTAAGCCATTAGAAATATGCATCATAAAAGGGGGCGATCATGGTGGACTGAGCCTCTATCCTTAATGTAAGAGATTGTTTATATGATTGGAAATTTTAAAACAAAATCTTATAAATTTTAACTACCATGGGAGCACCACCAAATAGGTCTTCTGGGGTAGATGAACAGAACAGTATTAAATCCACATCATCGGGTTCAACCTCCGCCATTTGAAGAGCTTTTCTAGCTGCTTCTACAGCTAAATCTGTCAAGCTTTCATTGCCTATAGTTTATTTGATCAGATTAAGACCAATTTTTTGTATATTAATGCATGTATGACAATTATACAAACGTTTACCGAAGAATTAAGATGAAAAGCATAAGAAGGAGAATTAAGATGAAAAACATAAGAAGGGATTCGCCCTTAGATGTACGTTAGGATGAGATGCACTGAGATGCATCAGGCCAATATCCGCATCAAGCGCAATTCATGATGAATTTGAGATGGTCCATGCTGAGGTAATAGCTTACCAAGGCGATGATCAGTAGCTGGTCGAGCCCCGTCGATTCCTTTGCGTTTCATTCTTGCTTACGTATTCCCCAGGCGGGACACTTAACGCGTTAGCGACCATATAGGGAAACAATATTTTTGATTATTTATTCATTTGAATTTTTTTGCCTATTTCTGTATTTTTTCTTTGAGTTTCATTTTTTTAATATCATTGTAGACGGAGTCTTGGTCAGATATGATGACCGGAGGAGGTCACCGGAGTGATGGTGGGTGCCGGAGAAGGCCATTGGATTGTGTGTTCGTGTGTGTGTATGTATATAAACATATATTAAACAAATTAAAGTAAATTGATCAATCAACACAATTTACTAATTTACCATTTATTTTATTTTAGTAAATAACATTAATTATCTAAAATGATTGGCTGATATTGGACTTTACAGTTACCACAAACTATCTAGTTCTCATTTGATTAGGCCCCTATAWATATATATATATATATATATATATATGTATGTATATATATATATATATATATGTATATATATATATATATGTATATATATATAGAGAGAGAGAGGGGGGTGGGTTATTATACAACCCTTTACAATCTCAACCTCCATTTATTTTGATGAATATGTAATCTTATAAAAGTTTAGATTGTTTCCTAATATAAAGTATTGCTCATAATTAATCAACCTTATTCATCTTCCATAAATATTTAAATCATAATAAATGAACTCTCATCATTTCAATAAATATTTCAATTTATTGGGTTGTATTGGTTGTACAAATGTAATGGACTGCATTCGAAACAAACTATATATATATGTGTGTGTGTGTAAGCAAGCAAATGAGTATGGTTGTCCATTGTCCCACAGTCGTCTACTTGAAGGATTTAAGCCACTTTTCTGAACATCAGGAATATAGATGGAAATATGGAGGAAGTGTTAGAAGGTCCGGCAAAGGGTTAATTGGGTCATGCAGAAGACATTGAAGACTAGGTTAAGGGATTTTTTGGCAGTTGTTGAATGATTTGGTATAGAATGATTAAGTGTTCAGAATGGTTAAGAGACTCTCATGATATAGTACAAAATAACATATAATTGTTTGGTAATTGTTTACAATGAAATTATGGCGCTTAATGGTTAAGGGAGGCACATGATACAAAATCATTCAGAAGGTTTTGAAACCATTAAAAGACATATTTTTTTCCCAAACAAAATTTAGCTCTTAACAATTTAAAGATTACCTCTTAATAAAACTATTAAAAGATAAACAAACAACTCCTAACTTTTTGAACTTTGAACCTAATGAAGTTGAGGAATTCACCATGAGTCATGCATGATCAATCCACATGGGCATGATCAATCCACATGCTCTTTAGTCTTTAGCCCAACCATTGGGCCCAAGTTCCAATTCAATAGGGATTAGGGTCATATCTCAACTATCCCCCAATTTTCAAGATGTTTCGGTTTAATTTTATTTTATTTTTTAATGTAAATCGCGTTATTGTTTGGAAGATTAGGAGGTTGTAAAAACTGCAATTTATGACATTTCATTTGCATGATTTGTTTACTGTTCAATTAAATTTTTATACTCAACTTTAGACGCATTAAAAGTAAAATGTAATGCATATTGATCTAGTTATAAAGTATATGTCGATATTACCTCATTTAAGTAGAAAAATGATATAAATGATAACGTGATCCACCATCCAAAAATGACAGCATTTTACTTCGGAGTTTAAAATGACTTGTCTTTTAGCATCAAAATTGAAAATCAAATGATTTCTTCAGTAAAAACAAACAAATGAAAATATGTAATAACAATATCGATTCAGAAGAAAAAATAACCTGAAAGAATTCGTCGATTACGAATTCCAGTTCGACTAGATATCCATTCATCACTAGTATCCATAACCTTAGAAAGATCTTCATTTGAAACCTGCAAATTTGGTAAACCTGACCCACACCCAACTAACTTGCATCCCTTGCTAATTAGCCTAGTTTCCATCAAAAATGTTAGAAAATACAAGTAAATCTTGTGTGTTAGTCCTTAATTTTCCACGAAATTGCAATATTTAACGATATATATATATATATACTCATAAGGTTTTTTTGAAGAAAAAATCTAACAAAAAAATTTAAGAAATGGATGCTAACCTGGACGTTCGAGAAGTGTTGCTGCAGGTAATCCTTTTAGAAAATATATTGAGGGAATAGAAACGAGGTCGATTTGCATCTAGAGATAATGAAATCTTCGTAGTTGGTGCTAAAATCTCAAATGTTTTTGCCATCGGTATTAAAGATTACTTTTTTAAACTAAAGTTTCAATATTCTTATAAACAAGGGTTTTTATTAAGGATTTGCCCTCCTATCCCTTTGGTCAAAGTCAACTATAATTTTTTTTCATTAATTTTTTTTTTCAAAAATTTATGTCTAATAAATTTATGTTTTACAACTTTTTTCAATATTATTTTTTAACTTTATTTTTCTAAATTTATGTTTTATAATAAATTTTTACCAACTAACCTAATTCAAATATAACTATAAAATTATTATTAATTTTTTAACTGTATTGTTAACGTTTTAATTAATTAATAATTTATATATGTATTTTTTTTAAATGTTTAAAGCTATACAGATAAAATAATTTAATACAAAAAAGATCATCAAAATAAGTTAATTAATAAATCAATAAATAAATTACAAAAAATGTGAAAATATTACAACTCAATCAAGTGAAGTAAATTCCGTAGTATGATTACTTGATAACAACTGTTCGTACTTATTTACTCGGGTTATATACGGAGTAGCCCATGTGGTTGTACAATCATATTTGAAACGAAACCAATTTGATATAATAGAAGGCATCGGGTGCCCTTATGCCAAAGATATTTTAACGTAAAGATTACCGTTAACATACCCAATTGTAAAAGCCACATGTTTATAACACGGCAGAGGACTAGATCGAAATGGAAAAAATGTCAGACTAACTATACTTGTTAAAGAATGTAGTATCGCATTGTATCTTGAAGCAAATCAACAAGCCCGTTTCAAAAAATTCATCCAATGCTCATTTGGTGCAAATGAGTTCAACTCAAAGAAGTTCAAGAAGTTATAAAGCTGACCTGATGTCATAGTAAAATACATATTACTTCACTTAACTAATATTAAGTTCATTAACATTTTCCAGAAGTAAAAAAAAAAATTCTTCCAACCACCTATAAGGTTATGTTTTCAAATTCTCTTTCTATATATTTTTGTTATAACAATGTTGTTTTTTATATAAGAAAAAAAACATAATACAATATAAACTAATTTATATTTGAATTTTAATAAAAAAAAAACAATGAGTTATTATTTGAATTTTTAAAGATTGTTGAAAATCGTTGAAATTATTATTTAAATATTCAAAAACTTAAATAAGAAGTGATTAGTTACTTTTTAAGTTTTAAAGTCGAAAAAAATGATGGATTATTTTCTGAATTTTTAAGTTGCAGAAAAATTAATGATATATTATATGAAAATATAAATAAAATGAAAATTAAGAAATTTGCATATGAATTTTTAAAGTTTGTATTTGATTTTTATAAGTACAAACTATATGATTATATATATGTGGTTAAAATTTGTAAGTATAAAATAAATAATATATTACTTTTTATAAATAAAAGGCTTTATATTTTCAATTTATTGGTTTTAACTTTGATTAATATATAATACAAATAAAAATTATAATTACTATAAATTAACAAATTGTTATTATATATTAATTTAAAAAAAATAAAAGTAAGAGAGAGAAAAAAAACTTTTCAAACTTTTAGGTCATCTATATAACTTTATAAAACAGATTTATTAAAAGTTTTAAAAATAATTTTTAATACACAAAGTATTATACATTTATGCACAAAGTCTTAAAAGTTTTAAAAACAACTCATAATGCATTAAGTACTACAACTTTACGAATTCAGTCTTAAAATCTCTTAATCTACAATTAAAATAACATATAGTACAAGTTACCAATGCACATTATTATCTTTTTTTTATGTTCCCAATATACTTTTGACACTTTTCACTCATGGTTTCACCCTATCATACCTTTATGTCTTCTTCTCATCCCAAAGGTGAGATTCAAACTAATATTCACCATGAGTTATTAAAAGTTCTCTCATTTATCTCTCATTCAATTGTTCTAGAACTCTCGGTCTCGCTCTCGATCTCTTGATTCTTTGCTCTTGGTGTAAATCGAACACATTTATGGAGTCGTTTAAACATGTTGAATTTTAAATATATTGGATTTTAAACTGTCATACAATTTTTTCCATCGACAAACTGTAATTGGACCATAACTTTTATTTATTCAAATTTTATTAATATGTAAAAACTTAAGTGTAACTTATATCATCGTTAAATCTTCTCTAATAAAACCAATGAAACTTCAAAATCGTTAAAATTCACAGCTCTCGCCATATTGCACGGATACATAACTAATTTTATATTATTTGTAGGTTTTTTTTACTAGTTGGGATGCAAATAACAACCCCTTGTTAATCCTCTGCTTCACTTAAATGCTACCATGCCACCTCTACAGGGTAGAATGACATAGGAACACCATAAATGTGGTCCACAAATACGCACTAATTAATAATGCAACATTTAACATATTTCTTTTTTAACGTTTATATTAATTAAAATTAATGGCTCCAAAAAGTTTAGATATTTTAGTTTATTATCGTGTCATATTAATATCTTTAAAGAACACTTGGATGATTCTAAACGCTTACATGAGTCGTCTAAAAAATCCAACATCATTTTATTAAATATTTAAAAGAAATAATATAAATGTTATTAATAAAAGTTAGGTCATTAGAAGTACTAGTACATGATGGTTATTCATTTATTAATAGCTTAAATAAAAAGTTAGGTCATGTTTGACAAAATAATTGATTAATAAAATACATTCGATAAAACAAACTATTAAGTTAGTTAAAAAAATGTAAAATAATCAAAAAATACATTTTAAAAATCAATAAATTTAAAACTACATAATGTATTTAAAACAATTCACTAGTAATATAGTATGTGAATTAATACAAACCAGATGTTAAAAAATTAAATAAGAATATGTAAATTAACAGATTTCAATTTGATTTATTATTATTTTATACAATGTTAAAAAAAAATTGAATTTGTATAAACAAACGCAAATTTTAGAAAATATCTACATTAAATCATGATTTCAAATAATTATTACATATAATATTAATAAAAACAAAGTTAGTCAATCTTCATAATAGATCTGAAATTAAAAGTTAAAAATTAATAAAATGACACCAACAATTTTCCAACTCTACCAAGAAAAACTTGTGTTCTTATTGTAATTTCAAAACATATACGGTGACACACAACAAATTAATACGGTGACATTTTTCACGATCTAACAAGTTTTTCACTATGACAGATGAACAACACAATGGGACGGCCCGCTGTCTGATGTCTGTTCTACATTGGGTATATGTAAGATATTTTTTCAACAAACCACAACTCTTATTGTATTAATGATTTATACTTAATGCATGCTTCGTAAACGTTGTACTCTTAAATTTAAGTGTATTGTCTAATTGCCTAAGATAGTATAAATAGAACAATAAAGATAAAAATCAAATACTGCATTTAATTAAGACGTTTTGAAACCAAAATATTAGTTAGAAAAGTCAAACTATGACAACAATTCAAACAAAAATTTATAAATAAATAAATAAATAATAATAAGACCATAATTTGTCAAATCGGCAACGCTCAAGCAATTCGATTGGTTTGAGCTTAGTCTCCAAAGGTAAACACTTATCCAGTAACTTGTTGCATTCGATATGTTTTGATGTATTAAAATCTTACGTATCAAAATAAATTATAATGTTGAATCCTATCGATACACACTTACCGGGTAAGCATTTAAGTAACCGGCCCCTTAGATTATATGCTTTTAGTAGTTTGGTAGCCTGATCTAAATGAAACAATGGTCTTAAGACAACTGATTCAATAAATAAAAAAATGCAGAAGACAGCATGGGCCAAGGAAGGGAACTTGGAAAATTTGTGTACTATAGTTCGAATTAAATGTTTAATCTAATGCCTAATGGTATTATTAATTACTATGGTCACATTATTGCAAAAATTAAAGAACAAACCGACCTAGTCAAATATCGACCCAATTTGGTTCTCAAAATGTCATCAATAGCTGGCGGCTGCTATTGTTGCTACCGGTAGGATTGTTCATCAGTTGAAATTTAATGGATTTAGGTGGATCTGATCCAATTGTCATCTGGTCTGGATGATTAGATCAGATCGATTCGGTTTCATCCATTAGACATTACTACGAGATTAGATTGGATCCATCTAATATTTGGATACAATTTTCAACCAATTATTCATATATTTTCCTAATTTATTAAAGACCACGACCATAAATACCAACTAAAAAACATCTTAAAATGTTAATAATTATTGAATTATGGACTATCATCCAATAACCGACCGATTCAATTTGTATGTTGAAATGGACCGGTCGGTTTATATTGGATCGAAAGAGTTTTTTCACACCTATTTTTCACATATCTTTCCTTATTTTTTGGTCCTTTTATTTCTTGTTTTCTTTTTGCAGAAAGCATCAGTTTAAACTTTTTAACCCCATCTCATAATGGTTGAAGCCGATGTAAGACCAGCACCATAGCCAACAGTCATGATGGTTTGACCTCGCTTCACTCGCCCACTGCGTACGGCTTCGTCTAATGCCAATGGAATGGAAGCACCACCCGTGTTACCATAATTTTCCAAATTAGATATCACTTTATCCTTTGGGAATTCTAGTTTTGCTGCTATACTTTCAATGATCCTCTGGTTAGCCTGCAAACATCACACCCCGTTATAAGGATCTCACAGAGGTTGCATGAATTCATGACAAATTTATACCTGATGCATTAGTAACCAGTCCATGTCTGACAGCTTAAGACCAGCCTTTGCTAATGAAGCCTCAACAGTCTGTGGCACAGCCTTAACAGCAAAACGAAAAACCTCTTGTCCATTCATTTGAATATGTGAAAAAGATGGGTGTGTAGTGGGAAACCCCATGACTGAACCATTATTACCAAGATTTGTTTCATTATGATTTATACCTGAATTCAAGTGCCTATCGAATGGAAAGGAAAACAATCAATAAAGTTCAAAGCTTGGCAACGTTTCCATTATCTATGTAAGTTGATGGTGGAGTGAGGCGTAACCTGTTGCAGTTCCCATCAGTATGCAAGTCAAAACTAAATAAACCATTCTCCTCACTATC